CATGTCTTGCTGACGTAATAATTAAGTGATACCGACAAGGGACTGAAGCACGAGAAACTATTCGCTAGTGAAAAGGCAATTGCTAGATAGTTTTCTTCAAAATAAGGTTTCCGTTTTTATATCAATTTTCAAAATAAGTTAGAGTTTGGTTAGGGTTAGGTTAGGGTTGGGGTTAATGTTAGGTTAGGGTTTAGTTTTGCGTTAGTATAGTTTTTTCTACGTTATGAAAACGGAAACCTTATTTTGAAGTATATCCTATCTAGCAATCACCCTAAAACCGGCTTTATAGAGCGTTTGTACATGACGTCACATGGCCGCCATGGCTTTTAGTGTTGAGTTGGTCCCTGGGAAATGAGTGCAAACTCTCTATAGCGCTCAGTTTTAACCAAGAAGCGAATATTTGAATAAGATTTCATTATTTCAAACACTCATTAATTAACAATTAGTAGCCGAAGACGAGGTGATTACAAGCCTATATTCACTGAGCCGAAGGTGAAGATAAGATAAGATAAAAACTTTGTTTCAGGAAGGTAACACCTTCAACTATAAAGATTGGCAAACTTGTGGCCCTCAAAGCGAAGCATGCTTATCTGCAGTCCACAGCTGTTCTTCATTCCGTTAGCGTTTCAATCCGACAGGTGTAGACCTGACAGTCTCCGTAATATGCTAAATCAGTAGAAGCAGGCGTGGGATTATGTCAGGCCGGTAAATACCGGTTACCTTAGGGCTTAGGCATGCGTCAAACAACAACGTGTGGGTCGATACAAACAAACGCTGGTCAAGTGTCCGACTTACGGGAACTTAGCCAACATTGTCTCAGAACATAAAAATAATTTTCTTGGATTTGTTCCACGCCATTGTTCCGTGAAAACGACTTCCCTCGCACCGTTGTTGCCCATCGTTACCGGGAAGACGAAACCGTAAACTAGGACTACGGCTATAAGCCAAACGAAATTACCATTTGCCACATAGGCCGGAGTATAGAACGCTGGAACGGCTATAAACACCGAGTCTGGCCGAAATCTCTCTTCTTAATTGGTTAGTTTGTGAGCCTAGGATTTACGGATGTAGATTAATATGAAATTTGCCCGAGAATTACTAACACTATTAATACTGTATTATTTAAAAATCGTATAAAAGTTCCTACAAGACGCTTTCGCATTAGTATCGCCACAAAGTCCGTTCACACACGTGATTGGAGGCAAAATGTGTGAATGTTCCGGTTTCCTTCTGAGTGGTTTCCTCCCATGCATGGATAGAGTTTGTTGACATCACAGGGTGGGTTAGGACACGTATACAGTTAAAAAAGTAATATCACAATTCTTGTAAAGATAAAATAGTCTATAGGCGAAGTATGTAACTATAGATAAACGTAATACTTGATGTGAAGCGCATTTGATCATATCTTCATAATTTCCTAAATTTCGAACTGCTAGCTAGACCGATTGGGGGAAATTATTCAACTCCAAAACCTGTTCCGGAGAAGAACTACTCGTCAAAAATTTGGGCCACTAAATTCTCGGACTGAAAGAATTGCCCAAACGAGACTAGAATATTTTCGACGTTGAATATATAGTCATGAACGTGATGCTTCATCCTCGTTCCCAGGGCTTCTCATAAGCAACGTAAGGCAGCCGAGAAGCCCTGGAAACGAGGATGGTGATTGGTGATGCTCTGAACGTGATGCATGACGGTTTTAGGAATTAACTCAGTTTGAAAATTTCGTGGTAACCGTTAATTGGCTGACATGCTGTTCAGGAAATACTTTTGGCGCCAACACCGGATTACATGAGATTCTGAACTACGGTTTCGGATCGGTTTCGTAGAAACTGTATTCCGGCATGATTTAGCCAGGCTGATATCATCCAAATTTTGTTTTGAACACAAATGCATGGGAGAACTCATTTGACTATAGTATTATATTATAGGTATTCTATAATATCATCTTATAGGTTGTACAATTCACCGAACAAACCGTACCCTCATATTTTACTGAGCAGCATGTAGAATGGGAACGTGACTGTGACGGCAAACAACTCGTTGAACCTAAACCCTGTTGCGTCTATTATCAATCATATAAAAAATAATACAGCATAATATTAAGGATTGAGGTTAACACAGCCTTACACAGGGTTAATGATTGAGAAGAGTTCGACTAGGATCCACTTGACGTAAGCGTTGTATATACGGAACGTGATAATCTGCATTTTGCCGTTGTAAACAGAGCAACGGCGACGTCTAAAACTTCCGTGGGGTTTTTCTTGTTCATTTCTGCTTATTTTCTTGTAGTAATATTTAATATATATATGATATCATTAGCCGTCTTGTTGACGTTCTTAATAACAGTAGTTCAAGTTTCCTCTTACTGAGATCAAGCCATAATAAACTCGCTAAAAGCAACGTACAATGTGAATGCAGCAATAGATTCAGCAATGCATTTGCTATCAACATGGAATATATAAATTACACTGATTATAGCATATGATAAGGCAAGGCAATAAGCACTGCAAGTAACCCTGCACTCTTCAGCTGTACACTAGTATATAACCAGTATATACCACAGCTGAAAAGAGAAGACGGTGAACCACCTTGTTACATATGGTAATATGGTACTAGAGCCCAAGTATAACACCACCCACATCTGCTATATATGGTAAGTACGGGTAGATATATAGCATATAAATGTAAATCTTATAGTTGTGCCTGTACAGACCGGAAATTATATTAACAGTACTACTACTACTATTCATATTCATTTACAATATCATACTTACATAAATTGAGTCCAAATTCACCTTCAGTTACCTTGTAATCGTGTATCATCAGTAGCTTCTTCATGCAAAGACGTACTTATTCACTTTAACGTGGTATACAGTTTCACTTATTCTCCAAGAACTACAGTTCCACATGAGCCGACTATATATATTGTGTCGGTAGTTCAACTTTTCCTTTCGTAATTTCCTCGAATTCCTGATGCGTAACCTGATATTGTATATACATAATCATTATTTACTGTGTCTTTATCATGCACATGCCTTATATAGCGATCACGGATACTCTTTGGCAAACCCCTCTGACTCTAATAGCGGATAATTTTCAAGTTATTTTCATAACTTCAAATTCAGTACACTGTTAGCACACAGGTGTAAACGTTTCTCAATTGAAGGATATGTTTTGATGACTTTAGTGAGATTCAGAGTTGTTCAATATTCCATCGTAGTGTGGCATGATTGTTTCATTTTCTTTATCACCACCAACGCGGTGGAATTCCCCTGCATGGAATGGACCATGCAATGATGTCATAATTTTCAATTTCAACTGAAGGAAATTGAGATCATCAGCACACTGAAAACATCTTGTGTATATAATCATGAGTTTCCTATCAGTGCTTTTACACTGAAGGAATTACTCTATAAATAAAATTGTATCTATCTATCTCGACATGCGGAACTTGCGGTGAATTATCGTGAATCATTTTCTAATTATTATAGGTTACAGAGATATGTTATTACGTTCGCCCGTCATTCGTAAATTCTATGATGTATTGGCTTACTGGATTATCATGATAGAATGATAGAAATATTCTTATAAGGCCGATAAGTACGTCGGATGATTACGATATGCTGCAATAATTTTCACATGCATATTGAACGCATATGCTTTCGTGCTTGGCTTGGGAAATTGGTACAGCTCGCTATATATATATATTGTGCCTCGCTATATATGTGATTTCATTACAGTTCATGCAAGGTTGACTATCAATGCTTCTCCTTTTTTACATGAGAGTCGGCGAGACTGCCACAGGCTTAACCAAAAGTATCATCGGTTTTGAAAGCTAAGATGAAACATGTTAAAGTGTTTTAGGCTTCTATAATTAATGTCACAGTCGTAATTTTCAATGCGGAGTATCGACTTGATCGTTGTACTATATTCATGCATTACAATAATTATCGGCAAGAATATTAACAAATTTTTCAGGTAGATAAAGTGTGTTTCACAGAAATATAGCTATCTGCCTATCTAGTATCTTCAAGCAATATACACATGGTTTATACTTTAAACAAAATTACTGCATGTGGGAAATAGCTGGACTCTTTCCGGCCTGGTAATTTTCAAAATTTTCGGGGCGAGGCCGACTAGGGGAATGCCCCCAGACGCCCTTCCTCCAAATTGGTTAAAAGCAGTTATCGGTTATCTAGTTGAGATAACCAATTAATGTGTTGTTTTAACCATCCGACCTGTTTTAGACTACAGTAAGCTCTTAAAACAACCATCTGAGGCCGTAAAACGACGGTTTTTTCCCTTTACAGCTTGGTAGAAGAACCAACAATCAACATCCATGTAAATGTCTTTATTTTGAAAAGCATGGCATGTATCCAAAAATTTAGCTACGTTAGCAGTTTTCGAATTATTACCATAAGTCTACAGATTGGCTACTACCATCCATTCTGTCTACCATCTTAACAAAGTAATAAACATGTATCAACCAAGAAATTAGCATTTAAAAAAAAATTCTAAAAAATTGTATTAATATAGCTCTGATGTAGTTTGCACACAACAATTAATTGAGGACATGTACTAATTAAATTCCGCATACCATGCAGCTGAGTGAGATATACTGGTATATATATATAGAAGATTTTGCATGGCTGCGTTTGTTTGAGGGATCACTCTTAGAAATAAGTGCTTGTTTAATTAAGGCCCGACTGAAGCAACGACATGACCTTCCTGGGAGTTGAACCCAAGTTCTTCAAATTCTTCTTTTTTGTAGGAATCAAGACACTCGTCTACTAGCCTGCGTGGCAGGCTCTCTGGGTTTGGGGGAGCCTCGTCGTCTCTGACTTCTTCAATCTCTTCTGACGGAGAAGCCATATCAACTCACATAGTTATTAAAAGCAGTGAGAATAACTGAAGCTGATCGTTGGAGCCGGAACTACGCTCGAAGCGATTGTTCGATTTCGCGTGTTCTATCAATCACGCGACTTCTCAAGACGTAGAACCCCGTGATCAAATGAATAGATTTTGTCAAGTAGCCATTATTGCATGTGTTCTCCGCGTGTTTCTGATGTATCTCAAGTGTTTCTCACGTGTCTTTTTTATCTCTGCAATCTGGTTGAATTCTTGAATACAGATGTCCGAATTTTGTACTTCTTGGTGATTCGCAAAATATCCGGACCCGAGGATATGTCATACGGATGGTAAAACTGCCTTTTTAAGGATTCAGATTTAAATCCAGTAACACGCTACATGGTATACGAGTCAAAGACCAGTCATGTGCCAAGACACATATATAGGGTAAGTTATATAGTGAGACACATATAACCCCCCTAGACACATATAGGGTGACACATATAACCCCCCCTAGTCACATATAGGGTGACACATATAACCCCCCAAGACACATATAGTGAGACACATATAATGTCGCATATAGTCATATATATATATATGTCGCATATCTCACATATAGTGAGACACATATATAACCCCCTAGACACATATAGTGAGACACATATAACCCCCAAGACACATATAGGGTGACACATATAACCCCCCAAGACACATATAGTGAGACATATATAATGTCGCATATAGTCACATATATATGTCGCATATCTCACACATAGTGAGACACATATATAATCCCCCTATTCACATATAGTGAAACACATATAACCCCCGCCAAGACCTATAGGGTGAGTTATATAGTGAGACACATATAACCCCCCTAACTGACCCTTCCAGCTCCGTGATCAGACATATGAGTCATAAGGCGGCTGCCAGTGGCGTCCTTATAGAAAGCCTTCGACTCGATCAGGTTGAGCTGCGTCCTTTGCAATTCAGCTTAGCTCTCAGCTGCAAGTACATATGCTGCTTAGCTCTCAGCTGCAAGTACATGATAAACATATAGTTTTCATTCAACATTGAGTCGAGCTATAGATGCCCAAAAATCTTGATCGAATATTTACCCATATGCCTTACGTAATTTCCCCCAGGTAAACAGTATTATCATGTGAACAAAATAAAGCACTACGGATTTATTAATGAGTTTGAGATACTGGCATAGCCTATTGCTCGTTTGCAATCGACGCCATCTTGGTTGATTTTCGCGGGCAACTAAAAATCTATATTCTTCATTCTTTGTCGTATTGTGCCAGAAATCGTAAACTATCCATAATACAGTAAGATGTTTTCAAAACAAACCAAAAATATTAAAGTAACTCAACTATTTCGATGTAAACGGCTGGACAAAACTTTAAAATCAACCAAGATGGCGCCTAATGACAGGTAGTGACGTCATGTGCAAGCAAAGAATACATACAAGAACTTGTGGTTTATGCTCGGCAACTCTTGGACTCTCTAGCTAACTAGTGGTTAGAGTCTCGGGGCCCCAGCTTAAAAGGGGGGGCCCAAAACAACAAGGTCCGTAAACAAGGCCCTTAAAAAGTTCTTGATACAAGATGGCTTAACTGAGAATATAAATCCTAGCTGCACTGGTGCCGGATAATATGTAATAAATTGTAAAATATATTGTAAAACACCGCTTCTCCTCTCGGTCAGACCATAGTCAATAGAATAAGAAGTTTAGGAAACTCGATGCAGACATAATAGACCTCATTATCTCTTTTTTTGTTTTGGTTTATGCAAGAAATGGTCGGTTCATCATCATGCACGTGTGTATGGTAATTTTGCAAACAGGGGCGAAACTTGAAGGGGGATAAGGGGGTTGGCACCCCTGGTTAAATACAACACACACGTGATGATGAACCGGCGACCATTTTTTGCATAAATCAAGACAAAAACATAGATAATGAGGTATATTACGCCTGTATCGAGTTCCCTAACCTTCTTATTCTATTGACTATGCTCAGATCTAACAATGTATATAATTTTCTACAGATGTAGCCAGTGCATTTTTTAAGGACTCTTCAGTGGTGGGGTAAAATTGCCAAAGGGCCCAATTTCCTTGTCCTCCCCCCCTAGCCTCTTGAAACATATCGATGAGCTTCGAATAATGTTGGGAAAAAATCCTTTAGATGTTTTAGCGATTAATGAATCTAAAATTGATGAATCCGTTTATGATAATGAAATTAAAATACCAGGATACGTTACGTGCAGAAGGGATCGCAACAGACACGGTGGGGGTGTTTTGTTGTATATCAGAAACTGCTTTTCATTTCGAACGCGCAATGAACTAATTCCTAAGCATCTTGAGATGGTGTGCATTGAAGTACATAGACAATATGGTAAATCCTTTTTAGTTTGCGCTTGGTATAGACCACCGAATTCAAATGTGAATTTATTCGACAGCTTTGAAAATTTCATTAAACAATGTGATGTAGAAAATAAAGACTTAATTCTTCTAGGTGATCTAAACTGTGACTGGAATAAATCTCCGATGGACAATCATACACAAAAATTAAAAAGTATTTGTTCGCTCTACCAACTTAAGCAAATTATTGATGTGCGTACAAGGATCACTAAATCATTTGCAACTCAAATTGATCTAATTCTAGTGAATAATTCTGATAGTGTTTATAGTCACGGAGTACTTGAAATTGGAATATCGGATCATAATTTAATTTATGTAGTTAAAAAAATGGCTCATCATAAGGGTCAACGGATTTCCAAGGAAGTTCAAAATTTTAAGCATTTTAATGAAAGATTATTTTTGGAAGACCTATCAAGCATTCCGTGGGAATATGCAAATAATTTTAATGATCCAAATGATAGCTGGTTTGTTTGGAAATCCTTATTTCTTGAGGTACTTGATAGACACGCGCCAATTTTAAGGAAATATATTAGAACTAAGAGAATCCCATGGATAACTGCCTCCATTAAACAGTTAATGCGAGAAAGAGATTTTAATAAAGCAATGTTCAACAAATGTAATTCGGAATTACATTGGGAAAAGTTTAAAACAATTAGAAATAAAATTAATGCTGAAATTAAAAAACTTAAGGCTAACTATTATAATACAAAAATTTCTGAGTGTTTACTGAATAAGAACATTAAAAAGAGCTGGTCACTTATCAATAACTTGTTAGGAAAAGATTCAAAATCTACTATCATTAATGAAATAAGGAGTGATAATAATGTCTTCACCGACAAAGTTTCAATTGCAAACCAATTAAATGATTATTTCGTTAGCATCGGTCCTTCCCTAGCTATTGAGATAGAAAAAAATGAACGTAGCTTTCAGAGATCGGAAAATAGAGACTCTAATGATTGGCTTGATACAACTTTTCGTTTTTCTGTTATAAGTGATGAGCAAGTTCTTAACAATTTAAAACAATTGGTAGTATCGAAATCGACTGGAATTGACAAAATTCCAGCTAGGGTTCTCAAAATCTCAGCTGATATAATTGCCCCATCTCTAACAAAAATTTTTAATCTTTCATTACGTACTGGCATATTTGTTACTGATTGGAAATTAGCACGTGTACACGGCCAATGTATAAATCTGATGACAGAAGTAAATGTGAGAACTATCGTCCAATTTCTATTCTTCCTGTTGTTAGTAAAATTTTCGAGAAGGAAATTTTTAAGCAACTTTATGACTATTTATCTGAAAATTCACTTCTTTCAAAATTTCAATCTGGATTTAGACCCAAACACTCAACTTTATCTTTACTTATCCAAATGTGTGACAAATGGTTAGAAAGCATGGATGATGGCAAAATAACTGGCCTTATTTCAATGGACATTAAAAAAGCATTTGACTCTATTGATCATGAAATTTTAATGTCTAAAATGAAAAATCAGTTTGGTATTTATGATAATGAGTTAAATTGGTTTGGTTCTTATCTGACAAACCGTGAGCAAGTCTGTTGTGTTAATGATCATTTCTCTTCCCGTAAAACAATAAAGAGTGGAGTGCCCCAAGGATCAATTCTTGGTCCTTTGATGTTCCTATTATATATCAATAATTTGCCAAAATATTTAAAATATACTACGGCGGGTTTATACGCCGATGACACACAGATATATGCTTCATCTCATAACTATGATGAATTGGTAGATCTATTGAATTCTGATTTGAAAAATATTAGCAAATGGCTGTCGGACAACAAATTGCAACACCATGCTACTAAAACAAAATTTATGTTTATAGGCTCGCCATATAATATTCGGAACAAAATTGGCAATAAATTGGTGATTTTTAATAACAAACCATTGGTTCGTTTTCGGTCATTTAAGTGTTTGGGAGTTGAACTTGACGAACACCTAAGTTGGGAAACTCACATTAACTCAATCTGTAAAAAAGTTAGTGCAGGAATTGGAATATTAAAACGCACTAGATCATTTGTCCCAAATGAGATCTTGCACACCATCTACAAAGCATTAATTCAACCATATTTTGATTATTGCTCTCTCCTTTGGGATAATTGTGGGGCGTTACTAAAACAAAAATTGCAAAGATTTCAAAATAGAGCAGCAAGGGTTCTGACGAGAGCAAACTATGATACCAATTCCTCTGAACTCCTTGAATGGCTCAATTGGAAAAATCTCGATACCAGATTTAAATTCAACAAGGCGGTTATGGTATACAACATCCTTAGAAATGGCACAGCCCCGTGCCTTCGCGAAACATTTTCTGCACGGAGTGACCATAATGTTTATAATTTGAGAGGATATGATACTGACCTCTCAATTCCAAAACCTAAAAAAGAATTTCTAAAAAGGAGTTTTAAATATAGAGGAGCTAACTTATGGAATAGTCTGTCTTATGATGCCAAGAGTGCTCCTACGATTTATACTTTCAAGAGGTTAATCGAAATCGAAAACTAGTACTTATCTATTTAAATACGTCTTTAAGCAGTTATCAATAGTGTGTGCTGTTATATTGATCTAGTTTGTTATTCTATTTTTTTTCCTTTTGTATATAGTGTAATTGGTAAATAGTAATAGTTTCTTCTTGTAAATATATAGTGTAATATAGTCAGTAGTCTTGTTAATTTAGTATAATATAGTGTAGTAGACGCCCCCCATGAAAACCAGTCTGTAGCTGATGGGGCCAGCGTCTTAAAAGAAGTTTTAAATACAATAAATACAATAGTATGTGATGGGCGGAGGTGTGAGCCAGGTCCCGCAGGCACAAGTTAGCTAGGCGGTCTGGGGACATCCCCCCCAGGAAAATTTTAACTGATTTGGGTCTCTGAAATAGCATTTTCTGCATTCTGAGAACACATTTAAAAAAAAATCTCAGCTTCTCAGGCAAAGCTTTAATGGTGAAATTTGTAATAAATTGCATGCTAAACATTCAAACACAACATAAGTTTAAGTATGCTCACCAACAAATTTTGTTTTTTAAATTTCTTTTCAATGTTAAACCTATTTACTCAAAACAGGTCCTAGGGCCCTGGCTTTGGGGTAATAGGCCATTCTTTCTCTTCAGTAGTGGGGCAGAGGATCCTCTTCCGGAAGGGGCCCAGTGGGGCAAATGCCCCACCAGTCCATGGTATTAAAAAATGCCTCGGATGTAGCATTATTGCTTCAACATGCAGGTAGGCTATTCCACACGACAGATCCTCTATAAGTAAAGTTTTTCTTGAGTGACTCAGTCAAACTGTCAAAGGTCTTGGGACAAATCATTTGGAATCAGAATCACGCAAGTTATAGCTACAATCACTTTCAAATGTTTCAAAAACAGTTTCAATTTCAACAAACGTCAATCCTCTCAGCCCCTGTTCGATGTTGTGTGTCATTTCTCGTTAGATTTGATAGGAGAGCGCGGTATTTGTGTGTAACAAACTGTAATGATCCACTTACAATCTAAAACTACATCTGCCCAACAACGTTTGAAAGTTATTGTATGTATCGTATTAGCTGGAGTAAATTTGTTTGAAAGATGCTCGTTTTGTACATTAAAACGTTGAATTGCTGAGAAAATCTTTGCTTTAGATTATCCCAGTTTAAGCTGTGCAAGTTCTCAGCAGAAAGAACATTATAATCAATTCCCGTAATAATTCGTGCAGCTCTATTTTGTAGTTTTTGAAGTTCGGATGCAAAACCCTTACATAAGCTGTCCCAGACACTGCTACAATAATCAAAATGTTGTTCGATTAATAATGCTATATGCAACAGTAATTCTGAGAATGATCTGTAATTCGACCGCAATATTTTCAATAGACCTTATGCATAATGACGTCACAAGGCTTGAAGCCCTCGAGGAATGCTGGTCTTAATAGTCATCGCCCGGGAAAATTTCGATAGTGGCCATTTTGAATTGTTTAATTTTCCCGGGCGATGACTACTAAGACCAGCATTCCTCGCGGGCATCAAGCCTTGTGACGTCATTATGCATAAGGTGTATTAAGGCACAGAATAAGGACATACAGAAGTGTATCTTCTTATTAAAAGTGCATAAGGGATTTTTTCAGACTGCCATGTTCTTAGCAAGTGCCCAAAAGAGAGGCAGTCACCCCCCTGAAAACATATCGAAAACATGGCCGCCAGCTATTTCGGTAAAAAAGCGCCTTACGGTTTTGTAATGAAAGTTACACTTCTGTATGTCTTTATTCTGTGATTAAGGGCCTACACCATGTGGTAAGACGCATTGTTTACAGAAGGCTGACAGAGGTTTACAGACCGTAACCAAACAGCAAACAACATCTGGCCGACCACGTGGAATTCAGAGGGCCTATTTACTCGAAAATCTGGCGAGAATGGATCTCCGTCAAAATTGATCCAAATTTTCGGATTAAATCGGCCCAAAGTCCAAATGTATTGTATTCCATTCAACAATGGGACAGTTCTGACCGGTCTCGCCGTGTTGATGGAAAGCGCTCCTTGATTTCGCTGAAGACCTTGCTGTTCTATTATCCACTCGTAGCCACCTCAAAACAAAGATGGACAGATTCTCTAGCTTTGCGACTGGTCTACACATTAACAAGAAAAAGACAGAAGTGATGTGTATCATTACCATCGCGATGGTGAGTCTAGAGAGAATGTAGCCGAGGACTTTACATGCCGTGGGAGTCTTATTAGCAGTGACAACGTGGCGCTCCAAAATACATCAAGGCCCATCTCAGCAAAACCAAAGGTGCGCATGTACAGTTGACTTCTGGAAGTCAAAACAGTACAGTATCAAAACAAAGATCAGATTGCATAACAGCAATGTGAAGTTGGTGCTATTGTATGTTTCTGAGTGTTATAGAGAGTGATACAGAGGGACATGGACAAAACTGACAATGCCTTCCACAATCGTTGTTTTCAAAGAAGATATATGCAACATCTACTGCATGGCCACAATAGTTATCCAGTGAGGACCTGCATAGGAACACTGGCTGTAAAAACCTGTTCCTAGAGTTAAAATGAGAAGAATTAGATGGCCTGGTCTCATACTAAGGACGCCCAATGAAAGGATCTCGAAAGTGGTCCTAAGATGGATAACAGCAGGCAAGAAAAAGAGGGGCAGGTCAAAAATATTATGGCGCAGAACAGTGGAGGTTGAGTTGAAAGAAATGGGCCTCTCGTGTTGCCTTCTCTCCTGGCCCAGAGCCGCGAGAAATGGAAGAAGCTTGTTGCATCCAAGTGGATAAGTGGTAAGTAATAATTTCGAGGTAAAGAACCGTTCTTCATTCGCACGTATATCAGAGTTCGTACATACGAGGAAGAGTCAAATTCAAGAACTTTTTAAGGACATTCAAGGCCATATATATCAGCAAATTCAAGGACTAATTACTGACGAAAAGGGGTTAGAAATCAGCAAAATCTGACGTTGAATTCGGTTCAAAACGGAACTTTAATGAATTTCAAACAGCTTTGTGAGAAATGAACATCAGTAAAATCGTACAAAATAAAAAAGTCCGTTTTGAATGTCAAACAATTTCAGAAAATATCAAAAACCTAAAGCAAAAAAAATCTAAGGAAGTTGGCAAGAAATATTCAGTTTTCAATGAATCATTATGCATGCACGGAAAAGTTACGCGTTTTCCGGCCATGTACGCGTTTTCCATGACCATGTGCGCGTTTTCCATGTACGCGTTTTCCATGTACGCGTTTTCCATGTACGCGTGTACGTGTACGCGTTTTCCATGTACGCGTTTTCCATGACCACGTACGCGTTTCCATGTACGCGTTTTTCATGTACGCGTGTACGTGTACGCGTTTTCTAGACAACACTCAATATTACAGTTACAACACGCTTATCCAAACATGCTTATAATCATAATAAAAAAAACTATGACTAATCGAAAACAACCGTTTCTAAGTTCATAAATAAAATAATAATTTCTAAAATGATTCTAAAATTTTGTGATGCTCTTTCAAGCTGTGATGAAAATTTTGTCTAGACTTGTTGAGTTCAAGATTTTGATTAATATGGGATTGGTTCATTATCCACAACTTCGTGTTTTTGACCATTTCTGCTCACTTCTTCAGTACCTCTCTATGATTGGTCAATTGCACCAAAACTCAAGGTGATTGGTGCATTCAACAGGCAGTTTATGAATATGCTGGAATTCATCAAAATTTCATAGAATTTGGACATTTGGTCAGTGTGAGCAAATGAATTGGTGAGTGAATATTTTGGAAACATTTCCATGATTGCATTGATTGTAGGATTGTTTTTTTTTTATAACATCATAAATGTATCAAAACAATTTCGAATGATCGGATGGCATCGAGAATATTGGAATTTCCAAGACAATAAAAATTATTAAGACAATGGAACATTCCGATGACTGAATTGTAACTGGATGGCTCAAATGTTATAAAGGGCCCATTTTAAACAGTCCTATCTATCTATACATTTTGAATAAATAAATTTTCCTAATTGATATAAACTTATACACTCTAATTAGTAAAATCTATTGGTTAACCTAGGCATGACCCTATTCCTGGTTAAATTATTTCTGGCTATTCTACCTCACGTCCTACCATAGTCTGGCTAATTAGCCATTCCGAAGTTGATGAGTGGACTGGGGACGAGTGTTAAAAAGTGCCCAAATTATGAAATGAACCAAACCACTAAAAAGACCACCTCAAAAATAGTAAGTATGCAAAGTATGAAGACGTTTACATGAATATCCTTCGAATAATAAGCTTTTGAAAATCGCGATATTTACCGTATGAAATGTATTGTAATTTTTGTTTCGTTCCCCGCAGGAACGAAACGGTACTGTATTTGGTTTCGAGCAATTATCACAGGAAAGTGACGTCAGAGATCAAAGTTATCCAATCCTTTGCCAGTATTCTTGCTGAAACGTCAATTACATTTAGAATCGTCCAATGAGATGACTGCTCCTAGCATAAGAAGTTTTTTGGAGGCGTGGCGTATAATTGGGAATCTTAGTTAATTATATGTCAACATATGAGACTAATGCGGTCTATCATCTACATCATTTGGCCTGTGATCTAGAAGTGGACGGAGTGAGAAGGTATGCGATTTTAATGTTTCAAAATTAATAGTGAGTTTATTTACAAATTAACCAACAAAATAGTTTCTTCGATTTCTGTAAAGATTAGAAAACGTAGTGGTGAATTTAGATGAAGCTCAATGTTCTAATATTTTTTTGTTTCCTTTATAGGACGAGGCACATTTATTTACGCCGTAATCAACATTGAAGGTATGTTATATATTCATGTATTTAACAATAATTGAATTTGCTATAAATGTGGTGCTCATTCAATAGCTATATTTTTCATTTTCCATTGGTTTCTCAGTGATTTAAGTGTCTAAATTTCTGATTTTTCTGATTAATTTTGACTGCGTCATGCATGAGCAAGGCGTGGCAGCTACAAATTATGTATTTTCTGTCTTTGAAAGGTTAGCTTTATAGGTAATAGCTATATCTATAACAAACAATAGTAACCTTTGTTGGTAGTCGTTATGAAGTTTAGAACGCGCATTGCATGCATTTTTCCACGTTTATATAGTGAGACATTTTAACTGCGTCACAGCCAGGCTATAGTATAAATGCGTATCCACTAAAGTATACTGTACATCTAAATGTGACTTTCTCATTTCTAACAAAGGTTTAAAATAGCTGACACCTTTGATAATTTTTTAAATTATCATTAAATGACATTTTTTGCTAGTTTCGTACGAATTTTAACTGCGTCACAGCCAGGCTATAGTCAATGCACAGCCACCAATGTAGACTGTACATCTAAATATGACTTTCTCATTTCTAACAAAGGTTTAAAGTAGCTGACACCTTTGATAATTTTTAAATTATCATTAAATGACATTTTTTGCTAGTTTCGTACGAATTTTAACTGCGTCACAGCCAGGCTATAGTCAATGCACAGCCACCAATGTAGACTGTACATCTAAATATGACTTTCTCATTTCTAACAAAGGTTTAAAGTAGCTGACACCTTTGATAATTTTTAAATTATCATTAAATGACATTTTTTGCTAGTTTCGTACGAATTTTAACTGCGTCACAGCCAGGCTATAGTCAATGCACAGCCACCAATGTAGACTGTACATCTAAATATGACTTTCTCATTTCTAACAAAGGTTTAAAGTAGCTGACACCTTTGATAATTTTTAAATTATCATTAAATGACATTTTTTGCTAGTTTCGTA